GCGCTGTGGGCCTCAGCGAGACTGGTGAAAGTTTAGAGAGTCGAAAGGGCAGAGTTGACAGTTTATAATAATCCGGATGGTGGTAGTGATGTGGCAGTAGCGAAGCGGGGTGGGGAACTAATTGATCGCTGGCCTATTGATGTTGTTGAACAGTACGTGAACGACCTATGTATACATTTAAGCACTGCTCTGATAATGGGACAAAGTGGCACCAAGTTCCACGTAGGTGGCAAGTAGCACCTGTATTATAAATCAGACTGTGGGCCTGATAGTGTGTATGCAGGTTGTGCTGCTTTTCTTTGAAAATCTCTCAATTGTTAGTGATCTTAGTTAGAGATCTGCAACTTACAGACTAGGCTTATAATTCTTTGAAGCCTTGAAGGTATTGGAACGGGTCGCAAAGAAGGAGTAAGGGAAAGAGCGAAACGTCCAGGGCTTTGCAATTCTACCGAAATTTTACAAATTGTTCAAAGTTCTCGCCCTCGAGGAATGGAAAAAACCAACTGGAACAACCTCAAAAAAAAGATTTCAAAAATCTCCGTTTCTCATGTTCTCTCTCTTTTCAATTATTCCTTCAGATTTATTATGAAAGTCCGATTTCCCATTGACTGCTGATTATGGTCTAAGAGGTTCGGACCTTAATTATTGAACCTGGTGAGACAGTTGGAGATCTTTTGGCGACTCAAAAATGGGATCTGATTTGTTAAAGAAGCTCCATATGTATATATGGAAGTCTCGTATGAAAAAATGGGACCAGCCATTTAATAGGGACTGACTGCACGACAGATCGCTTTCTCCCAGCTTGTGATGATTGATTCCCTTGCAAATCCAATTCGACTATGGTTATTCCAAGCTTTAATGGAAAGTTAGTCCGGAAGATCTGCCAACCGAGATCCTTTACCAGAGAATCAGAGAGAAAAAACTAAATCTGACTCTTATCATTAGACCTCTTATCAGATACACCCTCACAAAAAGAACCACAGTTAGGGTTATTAATTGATGGCCTACTCTTGAGAAAGTGTGAAACTCTCTCCTTAGAAATTGTGAAAATTTTGTAACCTTTAGTTTTATTTCATAGTTCCTGATCAACTAAGCTACTGCCACGGCTAGCGACGGTCTGTGCATTCCAACTATACATGGATCTTCATGCAAGAGCCTTACACATTCAGGCTTCTACGAAGTACTGAACTTGCTAGTGAGACTGTTCCTTGAGGCAAATGCTAACTTAACTATCGGCCAGACATAACAGCCGTTAGTCGAAGAGATGATTAGAGACAGAGAACTTTTCTAGTACATTATGCTTATGGAACATGATTAGGATCATTTACGGACGTGAAGATGAGGTATGTCTGCGAAAATTACGAAACAGATTGGATAGCTGCTATAAATGCCCATCAAAGGGGAAAAGTTGCAATAATAGCTACGCGAAAGTTGTTATGAGCACTTATGTAGGGGGAAATGACATTGATAAGATATCAATAGGGAAAAGGCTCACGTTTGTTGTCATACAGCATCAATAGACAAATAGGTGGTCGGAACCGTATGAAATTAAGAAAATTTGAAAGTAAAAATATCAAATTTTGATATTACGCTAATCGTCATACATGAGTCAAGCAAATTTCACTCGAGTTGCGCCAATTGAAAGACAAAGTTCAAAAGGAGGGGAGCCTATAAAAGCACCCCACTACTACCGTGATAAGTAGTGTAGGCTAGTCAGTAATATGGTCGTACTGATCACCGTGAATTCTGTTCGATGCAGGCCATCCGAAATGAAATGTACGATGAAAATTAGGAACTGGATAGGAGCTTAGTGTCGTGGGAAGTTGATGAACGTCCTAGACTTTCTACTTCACTTTTCCTGAATATTAACGTAATATGCAATCACGGACTAAGGGGAGGCAACCTCACCAACGCGAACTGGCATTTCAATGGAGTTGTAAGGCAACCTAGGGCATCTTATTGGTTTTCACCATCATTGCAGCTCCTGGAGGTTAGTACTCACCGTGGTTTCTGTCCCTTCTCACTTCCTGATCCTTTGTACAGTGGCGGCGGGTAGTTTACTTGCTTGTATTTGTGGCGCATTCAGCGTAGTGTATAAATAAATAAATTTTAGCTGGTAGGCTCTCTGAAGTCCACGTTCTGCAACGCCCTCTGAAAACCTTCATCTGAGCCTGAGCCCATGGGCACACAGGGTTGGAGAGTTTTGGATGAGTCTATGGTAGAAATGTGAAAACTCAGCAAGGTAGGTTTTGATTGTAACAAGTATAATGGGAGAATTCTGCGAAAACTATCGGACAAATAATCACATTCCATTCTTACCAATCTTATTCACGCTTTCAGTCGTCCCTATTCCAACCATTCAATTGCGCTGGGATGAAAAGTGAACAATGAGAAAAAGACTAAAGGCAAGGCAGCCTCTGGAGCAAAGTAACGGCAACAGCTCTGTTCGTATTATCATCCGTTGAAAGAGGAGGTATTGTACGTTTGTACATCATTGTATTGAGCTATGTATCGTTTTGTTTACATATCCAAGTGAAAAAAAGATTTTCAGTCGGACGTAAATAGAAACTCCATTGAAGTTGGAAGTAATCGTCAATGGACTTCGTTCTTCGATAAACTTTTCAGGATTTGGAAATCCAGAGCCCTTCATTTGCAAATTTTAGCAGTAACAGAGCCTTTTCTAGAGGGCAACTTCTTCAAGTGGACAGTTGCAGCAAGATTCGAGCAGAAGAGAAGACACGGAACTGGCATCTACTTGCTGTTAATGGGAACTCACTTTGAATACTAGCAAAGTACAGTTGAGAGTAGTTCAGTAGGGAGTCGATTTAATGGGTGGCTCTCGAAGGCTAGATGGGCTAGTCGAGCATGAATACTTGTCTCTTGTTTTCCTTGAGAAGATGCTTCAACGGTTTACGAAATGATTTCGCTTTTGCTGTTTTCCTTTATTTCATGTATAATCGCTTGAAGGGAGTCCAGTGATTAGTAATTATCCCTTACTTTGAAGATGATTATTTCTTACAGATCTTTGTCAGACATTTTTATCAGCCATCGGAGGTTTCAGGTAGATTTCACTTTCAAGGTCATTTTCCGATTTCCCATATGTTTACCTGGGTCGAGACAGGCGAGCTTGTGTTGCGCTACAAGTCAAGAACATTGTAATCGTAGCAAAGTAGGTAGTGTGAAGGGGATCAACGACGTTGTGCTCGAATCAAAGCCGATTACCCCACAGTAGAAACCAGGAGGTGGGTGAAACTTAGTCATTCATGAATCTACTTCCATGTGCCTGGCGTTCATCTACGGAGCGAGCTGTCAAGAGCTGCTCCGTCATGTGAAATACACTACACTCTCAGAAAATTTTGCTTCAACTCGAATGATATACATCTAAAGCCTAGACGGTCCATGCATATGATTTTGAATAATTTTTCGAGAAAGAAATTTAAGAGTGATTTGCTTGAAATCGAGTCAAGCCTCAAAAAGTATTCTCCAGGCAGTCTGTTTTGAGTACGGTTTCAATGTTTACTTCTTTCTGAAGGTTGCAAACCAACTTTTCCGTTGCACGTTGTAACATGAGCGTATCATTTGTCTTCGCACCTAATGCTTCGTATGAAACTCGACCCAGCCCAGGTGAGGATCAGATTTCCTGGATGAGCGTTGTGTCAGAAGTTTTTTGGAAAGCATCCTGGATTTGCAACTTTACTATAATTTAAAAGAGTCTCTATTTCAAAGAGCTAATATTTTAGAAAGGAAGCAGCAATTTGGTGGATTGGCTCGCATGGACGTGACGCCTACAGGCTGGCAGTTTTCAAGGCAACATGGCTACTCCTTTTTCAGAATTGATGCTACCAAAGAGCTTTCTTGCTGTATTGCGTTATGCTTTCTCAACCGCAAACTGACGCATACTTGCGTTGGATACTCAATCATATTTCTGTCTGAGAAGAGACTTTCGTTCAATATGTCGTTGATGCCTTGTCTTTCTTGTGTGCGCATAGCGGATAATAAATAATGAATAACCCTTGACCCTGAAGAGCAACATATGGCAACCTGCCATATTCCTTTCTCTATGTAGCACAACGGCAAAATCGTTGGCACAGCGGGCTCTCATGAGCAAATAAGTGAGCGAAGAGCAGTAAAATGGAGTTAAAAGACGCTGATTACTGTTTTTTATTAGCTACGATTTAGCTAACATCGAATCAAGAAATAAAGAGTGCATAAGCAATAAAAAATGTAAATATCTAAATATGTAGTACAAAATGAAAAATAGAATTTAACTCAATAAAATGAAATTATAGTAGAGCAGAGTTTTTAGTTGCATTTATTCTTCGGTCGAAGGTGTGGGTACATAAACCGGCAAGGACGAGTAAGCATTTTTACGTTATAGTGTTCGTCGTTTGGAATTTGCCACAATTACATAAAAACTTCTAGAATTTTAGCTAAAAGGCTTTGAGTGGCACAATTAGTTTGGGAAGTGAACGACTGGATTACCTAGGATTTTACCTACCCAAATCATAATTTTAGCAGATTTTGATGTTTTGCAACTTATTTCCACCAAAAATTCTTTGTCACAACTTTGCTCAAGAGTTTGTTAAAATTCCGTAGCATCAATGTATCATTTCTTGTTCGTTATCGCTCGTTAGTTCTGTTTTGGAGGACAGAGGTGGTGCAGGGGCAAGTGGCGCTCTGTCACACATGCATGTTCAAGGTTCGAGTACTAGAGCGATATCCGACTCTACCCGTCGAGCCTTTCGCTCCTCCGGGTCGTTCTGTTGGTACAAGATTACTCTGGGAGGATATAAGAACTGTTTTGCACATCAACGTGAACAAAACTCTCCAACAGAGCGGAGTTTTCAGCATGAGAGAAACGGCCATTGAAAACTTTATAGATTTACATTGAATATTTTTTGAACAGTGACAAGAGATCAGTGCAGACATAAATAAATCTGCTGGAAACGCCACAGGTGGAAATAATCACAGATAAGGGTTTGTTATAAAAATTATCATCATCATATAAACAGATAAATTGCAGAAGCGATGAATGTTGAGAGCAAAATGATGCCAGCTGATGAATTGCAGAACTCATAGTTACACGTGTAGCATTGACCAGTTCCACCTTGTGCTTGGCAATTAGCCTGGAACGTATAACATTGAAAAGTTTCTATTCCAATCAGCGTCATCTTAAGAACGGACTATTCTCGAATGGTTTCTACGATTATTCGGCATCCATGAATGGCATATAGGACATTGTAAGGCCAAAAAACTGCTTAGATGGGGAAGCAGTCATGCCATCTGGGTGTGGTAATGCCTTCTGGAGGCTACACCATAATGAAGAGGGACTTCGAATGTTCAAACAACTGATCGCTCGCGCTGCAATGGTGAAGAGCAATTTTTGATGGCACGGATACTGTAGCTGACTTTTTGCGCAAATACACACACACCTAAATCTCGTACAACGACTTCTTCGTCATCTCTTACAGATTCTAGATTTAACAAGGTTGGGTTTGCCCTATACTCCGTGATTTCCGCAAGTTTTTTGCTTTCATCGCCATGAAAGTGTTGCTCATGCGCTCGACTTCTCCATGTTGTTAGTATTAGGTTGAGTCATAAGTCCTCGGACTAATTGGCAATGATAACATTTATCTTACAGTTTTTGAACGACAATAGTTAACCATTTGAAATATGCCCCGTTGGCATCGATGGTCTTCTGCCAATGCTTGGGCAGATCGTAGATGCCCTTGCTATAGAACGCTGGGAGCTGGCCATTGGAAAACTGCTCTAATACATTTTGATGTCGTCACGGGTTTGAAAGTCCTGACCATCCAGATGACGTTGAAGATGGGGAAAAAGGTGGTAATCCGAGGGATCCAAGTCTGAGGAACATGGTCGGTGTGGCAAACTTGTCCTGCCGAAATTCGTCATTTCAGTTTTGGTCGTTCTTGCAATGTGAGGGCGAGCGTTGTCGTGCTGAAAGTAAACTTTGTGCTGCTGTGGACGTGTAGCTTCGGGATTCGCAATCAAATTCCTCAGTTGCATAATGTAGACGTGTGCGGTCACTGTGCATCCTTCGTCTAGCAGCTCACATTATTCGACACCGTGAACGCTCCACCAGAATCAGAGCATAACCTCCTTGGCGTGTACGTTGGGTTTGGAGGAGTCTTCTGCACCCGCCCCTCTGTCAATCCATTGAGCACGCCGGTGAACGTTAGAGTAGAGCATCGACTTCGCATCTCTGGTGACTAGGTACTCGAGCCATGTGTGGTGCCCTTGAGCGTGAGGATAGAAAGTGCCACTTCATCGCGGCGATCTATGTCGTACTGCTTCAAAACATGAGGCACCCATCGACCGACTTTCGCACCTTGCCGATTGACTTCAACCCGCGAATAACTGTGGACTGACTTCTCAAGAGTGGCTGCCAGTTCACGAGTAGTTTGATACGGAATGGCTTTGACCTGGCTCCGCAGCACGTCCAAATCCAACTCCATTGGGCATCCCGGACGGTCTTCATTCTCGATGGAATAGTCGCCCGATGCGAACTTCTAGTGTCACTTGTAAATTGTACACGTCCTTCTTGTGGAAGTCCTTCTTAACTCTATCGATTGCCGCGGATTCATGGCCAGATAAAAAAATAAATATGATGGTGTTGTCGATGAGGAGTTGCGACGGCTTGAAATCATGAGGCATGGTTGTAGGAAAGGAAACCGTTAAGTGCCTTATCCAGTATGCATTTGAAAGAGCTTTCCATACTCTATCTAACAATGCCTAGCGCGTTCATTTTCGTCACCTCTTTCTGGAGTTATGATCGCTAGAATTCATCACTATCACATTGTCCGAGGACTTATGACTCAACCTAATATTTTAGAAAATAACTTTGAAAGTATAGAATCGTTTTTTCTTCAAAAATACTCAATAGAACATTGGTCTTGATCTCTTCTATAATTAGAAACTCGGCTCACTCTATTCCTACATACTACTAGAGGTGAAGTGCAAAAGGTCCCCGAAAACCAAAGTCTAGGTCATTAGAAGATAGAAACCTCCCATAGACTGGATGCATAATAGTGGTAATACCTCACAAAGAAGTACTTCTCAGTAGCTAGCATTCATTTGACGATTTTTTTACTTTGGCATTATGTGCTTCTATTTTTTGGATATTGTATGCTCTTAGTTTTTTGAAGTCGAAACCTTCATAACGACAAACCTGCAACGTTTGACAAGCTACCGGTGGATTAGCTGGATCGTTGCATCCTTTGAAGATTTGCTCATCTAAAAACATTTTGCCTAACATCAGTCTGTTTGACATAATCACCTAATAAAGAACTGTTGAAAAATAACATATGCAGAAGGTTTTTTCCTTTGCGTTCCACTGAGTGCCCTTAGTTTGTCGGACATTTTCAAAGGAGTGTCTTTCTCTCCAGTGACAAAGGGTAAGGTAAAAAAGGAACTCACATCCACGCATTCTGCAGACGAATTTCATGCATGACGTGATGTGAGCAGGACATGTTTGACTGATGACACCTTGGATTGTGTTCATTATGTTGCATTGCAAAGCATCTGAAATCGACGTCTGGATATTTCAAGTCCAATAGTTCATGAAAATTGTGCTCCAGTAGAGTGTGCTCCTAGATAATCGACAAAGCCAGGGAGGCAACCATGGTTTATTGGCGTTCACAGCAGTAATCACCTGTCCGTTACCTTTTTTATTCTCTGATGGACTTGTGAGCTTTCTTTTTTGACAGGACCCTTATCAAAAAAAGTGAAAATTTCATATCGCAAGCGTCTGGATCTCTTGAATCATAAGAAAACATAAATGACTCCAGCTACGACTGGTTGGATGTATTTTTAAAACTCTGAAAAATTCGTACCGGAAGAACCAATTAGGGCAAAAATAACGATGCTAAGCATGAGACGTCTCATCTGAAGAATAGCCAAGTGGTTGTGGTTGTCCGGCAACAAGTGAGGGTGAAGGAATAACCAAAGAATGTATGAGTTGCTAGGAGAGCAAACACAACTGATGCTTTTCCTTCACACATCGGAAACGATCATGACCGTCTATAAAAGGTCCTAGGGAGTGACCTATACGATCGTTGGGAGGTGCAATGTTCGTGATGTCATCCTAGGCAGGAACATTCAATTTTATGGTACAGGGGTATATTTAGGAAATTTTGCTGATTCTAGTGAATTCAGTGAATTCTACTTATTATAAAGGCAACATTGCATCATTGAGAAGACTGTAGAGGCTGATGTACTGACACGTTCGCTTCCATATTGAGGGGATGTGAGCTGGGGGTATGCCTTCATATGAGGCTTCATCTGCTACGGTCATCGAAGTTATTCAAAAAACTAGAGCATCTCTAAACCATTTCATATCTTAAGGTTGAATTCCATTCACCTCGCTTTGAATGAAACCCTTCCTACCATTGATTTGACCGTCGGCTGGGAAGTGAATATCATTCCGCTCTACATCCATCTATGCTGAGGTTGCTGTTGTCCATCGTCTATATTAAGGTGAAAATGAAGCTGGAAGAAAAAGTTGTTAGGGCTACCTAGACAGAATTCCCGAGATTTGAGCCATCAACTTGTTTGGTTGACTACGAAATCAAGTTCACGAGCACAATCATTTCACAAAATATTACGAAACTGATAGTCGGAGTAGTCGGTTTTCAGTGGACACTTTCATTGCTCGTAAAATTCACACGAGCCTCAGTCAGCACTGATTCATATCCTCACGCGAAATTTCCTTCGCTACGAGAGGAGGAAAACACTGGTGTCGCGTGCAGTGTTAGTAATCCCATGAACGTAGGTGGGGCGATAACCAACTTGGGCCACAGTCACTGAAGCTGCTAAGCTGATAAAACGATGAATCAAAACAATACTCCTTCTCGATCATGTATATCACGTTGTGTGCATCCAGTATACTGATCTTTCGTCACCACCTTTTGAGTTCTGCTTGCGGTATAGTACTGGATTTGCTAATTTGTGCTTCATTGTGTTGATCACTGTCTCAAAAGTTAAGATGAGCAGTCTGTCAATTATCACGACCTACCGTCATTGCCGTGACTCCTCAGTCGCTCGTACGGTAATCTTATGCTTCGTGTGTTACGCCATGTCTCTGCTAAACGTCTTGAGGGACTGTTGTCTGCCTGTTCAGACTTCCTCAAAACTGACCATCAATACTGCAATGATCGCTTAGTCTGTGACTGAAAAATACCCCCTGAGATGAGTCATTCTTCCCTTCCACCGCGCCTACTCACCAGGATCCTGTTGGATGGGTTCCAAAAGAGAATTGGTGAGATGGCGCCGTCAAAGCAGGGGAATATTTCTATTCATGTCTATGAGCCTTCCACGAGCATGTTCCAATGCTTCTAGTCATTTAAGACTGACAGATGTTAGTTATCAGTACAATTCACCAATTCTGGCATGGCGGAGTACCCATACGGTATTAATCACCGCACTTCTGCCTGACTTGTGCGGTTCCATATTGGAGAGGAGGGATGCCTCATAAATCGCTCGGAGGGTGAGAGTTAGGTAGGTATATGCTCAAAGGGATGCGCTAATCAAATTGCCTCCCACTGTGGTATATCTTTGGGGTCAAGCATTATGGACTAATGACACTTGCCATTTAATCGCATTGCTGTTGATGTATGTATATTGATATTGGACCCGTACCGCAACAGCATTGGAATTTTCCTTCTGCATCAGCTCGCACCATAACTTTAGTTCTGAATAAGCTTATACTTTAAGAATAGGAGCTGAAGCAAGAGTTTCCGGTACTACATGGGTAAAACGTATCGAATATACCATCCTGGGCAGCTGGTCTCAATCTTTCAACATGTGGTCCCCATAAGGGTGGTCCAATAAAATATTCGGGGAGAAGGATTCTTAGTGAAGGCAAACTCCCATAAGAGCACTATACAAAGACACCTCCTACGTGACAGTCACCTAAACGACAGTAGTCGACCACTTCTGTTTGTGTGCATTATGGCGATGGTAGGAGCTCATGCACAATAGGTAGATTTGACACAATTTCTTTCCTCTGTCATAGTTTCTTCCCATTCCCACTGGGTGACTTCGATGTCTCACTTAGTGGGAACGGGAAGAAGTTGAAATGTGGGATGAATAGGGTTACATTGCATGAAGGAATGCCCCTACTGTTCACATAGAATCAAGTTTATTTTTGCCGTCCCCGCTAGAGCAAGATCTCTCCGCTATTGCTTATAGACTGAAGAACACACTATTAAGCCGCTAGATAACTATCTAGACCCATAGCTCTCTAAACTCTGGAACAGAAAGGCCAAGGTTATCAGGCAACCTCGACTTTGAAACCAGGGCCTCCACGATCGATCTCCGGTCCCAGTTTGTGATAGGGCCTAGCGTTTGTCTGAATGAGAAGGCCCATCTCATTGCGGTGCTCTACCTGAAGATCGACTACATATATAGGATCTCGTACACGACATGTCCCATCACCCAGTAAACTTCTTCGTTTTAGCAGATTGTGATCCTGCAAAGGCACCTCTCACCCATAGCTCCCATAAAGCAAAAGATGCTTACAATTGGATGCCTGCGAGGACTTTTGAAGAGCTTTCGTGTGAGTAAGCCGTATTCATTGTTTCTGCTCGCGTCACGCAATCGATTTGATACTCCAGTGGAAGTCGAATGAGGAAACTTTATAAACGCATGACACATGGGCCAAATGGTAGGTAATCACTTTAGTTTCCTGTAGGTAACAACCGTCAGTTGTATTTCTCAGGGGTCTGCGCAGTTAAGTG